TGATTAGAAATGTCGGTTGAAGTTTTACATAAGATAGCCCTCACTGAGGAAGTGAATTCTGAACAATGACTTCAAGGAAGTAAAGCCAGAGCCACACAGCTATCTGTAGGGGCCAGGGGGACAGAGACGAAGAGGTGAGGCTGGAGAACTAGGGGAGTGGTGTAGACAGTGAGGGTATGTATGTGCGGCTAATATACAGCCTGGTAGTTCGCTTTTTATGTTCTGGCTTTTGAATGAAAGGGAAACCACTCCCCTTCTTCCACCAAATCTTGGCTAGTTTAGCTATGTTTCCCTAAAAAAACTTAAAGGGACACTGTAGTTTTTTTTAAGTGCAAAAAGAATGAACTATGTATCCCTGATTGAACCTTTTTAGCAACAGATTTTGGAGGAAGGAACTGCCATATATAAAAATGTGTTAGAAACACACAGAAAGTTTACACATACATGCACATACACACAGGCACTTAAGGGAACATTCTGGGAGATACTTTACACAAAAATGCAGGGCTCTAGGTGACTTCTTTATGACAGTCCATATTGTTACTCATTCAATCTATTAAACTAGGATGAATGACAATAAAAATTTCCACATTAGACACAGAAAATAGCTCTAGATTTGTTTACTATTTATGCATTTTACATCATATGATTAACATATAATGCGTGGATGAGTATGTAAAATCACTGAGTTTATAAAAAGTGACTTTTTCTCTAAGTAAACAAGTGTACAATAAAGTAACTTCAAATCTTTTAACCTTAGTAAATACAGGTCCTTATCCTAAAGCAATGCTATCTTTAATTATCACTTATTTGTGAATTGTTAGAAAATAATGACTATCAATCAATTCAGAGTCTGAGTTCTACAAATATTAATCAAGATTTCCTCTAACAAAGGCAATCTCTGGGAACATGTAGGTTAAAAGACCAGCTTCAGAATAAAATAATATTCTTTATTCACAGTAAGGTCAGATGGAGTTTAGTCAGTCGCCCTGATGTCTTCTTTTTAATAGACAAACTACTTAAACAGGACAATTGAAGGATGACTTCTCTTCAATGTAGGGTAATTATAACTTGTCCATAATGTAATGCAGTGACTCAACTATGTTATTACTTCAAAATAAAAGTAGCATATGATGTGTTTATGACAATGGAATGGAAAAGCCATCAGCATTAACTTCTTATGACTATCTGCATCTCTCTCACATTTTATGACTACTGCCTGTAGGTCTCAAATATAAGGAAGAATTTGCCAGTGAAAATGAGTTACTCGCAAAGGTTATAAAAATATCTTAAAGATCTTTCAGTAAAAGCATAAATGTTCACCCTCAGGGATGACTTGGCATCATCTGACCTGAAAGCAAGAACACAAAGTAGAAAACTCTTCAGGTCTAATCTATCCATGTTATTCTTGAAGCCAAAAAAGGCTAAAAATCTTTTTTCTTTTGTCCTATAATCACCCTTCTCTTTAACCATCAATCTCTCTTCTGCTAGACATGAGACTACAAATTTGCTGACATAAATGAATTTGTCCTCTAACTGCTTTCATTATCATTATAAAACTACAATATTTGTTAAAAACTAATTCGAAACCGTTTTACAGCAAAATTTTCAAAACCCAGCCTAAATTAGGTAAAGCAATGAAATCATTTAATCAGCTATATGCCTAGGTATGTTTTGTTAATCTATTACCTAGATGAGGAGTTTATGTTTCAAGCAAAATGTAATATGTGTATTGATGTCTACAACTTCCCTGAAAATGCATCAACAAATAAGAGGGGTTGATGTCTGGGTAAAAGGATAAGTAAGTGATAGAGCAAAAACAGCAAAATGTTAACAACTTTAGAACCTTGGAGGCGGCTATATGGGTGTTGACTGTGACATTGTTTCAACCTTTTTGTATGTTTGAAATTTTTCACAACAAATTGTTGGGGAAAATATTATCACATTTGAAACCTGTTTTAAATGGCAAGGGAGAAATGTCAAATCCCACAGAAGAATTCTGCAAAAACCAATAGGCAAGACTTTTGCAGCTTATGTTTGTTGAGCTGAGGGAAAAAAAAAAAAAAGATTACTATAATCCCTTTATCTGTCTAGCTCCAGAAAAGTACAAAAAATTTCCACTCTTATTGAGAAATAATGGCAGGTGAAAGCGTTGTTTGTTAAGAATTCTACGTGGTGAAACTAAGTTCCTCCGGCTAAATTTTGAAGCTTAAAAACAAATTATTACTGTTATTTCAGACAATGTTTCACTTCCTTGATTACCCAGAATAACTTTATTTCAATACAGATATATTTCCTGAAAGGAGATAAACCATACTTTCTTCAGATTACTTAATCATCCTTTTTGGCAGTGTCCTTTTGCTATGAATCTATCTGAAAATATTATTTTTTTAAATCTGAAAATAAAAAACACAAATGATCAACACGTTGGAAAATGTGTTTACCTACTCAATAGCGTGCATATGAACTATATGTTTCGTGTGTTACAAGCCTTTCAATACAAATGACCTTCTAAAGTGGCATTGAGACAGGCATATTTATGTTTGATATTCCATTAATGACTTTTTGGTAGTTATTTAAAACATATCACCCTCTGTATTTAATAAAGATGGAAAAATACTTAACTCAGCTAGTAGTGGATAATAATGATTTATGCAACAAACATTTAATACCTTATGTGCGAGGGATAGTTCTAAACCTTAAAGATGAGAATACAAATAAGATGCAGTCCCTGAATTGACTAAATCAATAGTTTGGTGAAGAAGAAACGCAAATGAACAAATATAAAATCTCATAAATTGGTTAGTAAGTATATGTAGAGTAATACTGTAATAGAGGAGAAACCTAAATTAGCTTAGCGGGGTGAGGGTCTCTGGGAAGGCTTCCTGAGTTTGGTCTTAAAGAATGGGTATTAGTGATCTAGGCAGGAGAGAATGGGAGACAATATTCTATGATGAGGCAGCAGCACAGAGGAACAAAACAGTATGTTGTGGGCAGAGAACTATAAGCAATTCAGTATTGCTGGAGAGAAAGCGCATGGTATGGAGTGGAGAGAGCTGATGCTAAAAAGGTAGGCAGTGGCCACACCATGAATGATCTTGTGGGGTATGTTAACAAACCTGGACTTTCTCTTGGTCTCAGAAGGATCTAGAAGGGGTGTGATATTTTCAGATTGTGTACCAACTATAACTCTCTGATTCCCTTGAGTGAAGGAGACATGATGATCAGCTACAAGAGTGACAAAATGAGGACCTGAAAACCAAGATGGTGACAGAGGGTATGGTTTCCATTGAGATATACAGGCAGACAGGACAGACTGGATGTGGGGGTGACTCCCAAGTGTCTGGCTGGGGTTAATCTGTTGATGACAATACTGTCCTCACCCACTCCCCCCTCCATCCAAGTAGCTAATATGGAAAGAAAAGCAAAATTGAAGGGGAAGGTTATGGATTCAACATTGGAAGTGTTGAATACGACTCCGGGTTAGCTAGGTGAAGATTTCCAGCAGAAAGTTAACAAGAAGCCAAGAGGGAGGAAGTCTGGAGAGCAGGCTGAAATTTGAATCTTCAAAATATTAGAGACACTAGGAATTTTGAGAGAACAGCCAGTTTTTTGGGGGTTTTGTTTGTTTTACTTAAGCCATTCTAATAGGTGGGTAGTGGTAGCTCATTGTAATTTAAATTTTTATTTCCCTAATATCTAATGATGTTTAGGATCTTTTAAAATGATTATTTGTTATTTGTGTATCTTCTTTGGTGTCTATTCAAATCTTTTGCCCATTTTTAAACAATGAGCTGTTTTATTATTGTTTTTTGAGTGCTCCTTATATATTCTCCACACAAGTCCTTCATCAGATACATGCTTTGTAAATATTTTCACAGCATGTGGCTTCAACAGTCTTCTGAAGAGCATAAATTTTTACTTAGTTGAAGTCCAATTTGTCAATTTTTTCTCATCATGCTTTTGGTCTAAGAAATATTTGCCTAAATAAGGTCACAAATATTTCCTCCTAGGTTTTCTTCTGGTATAGGTTTAGGTTTTTCATTTACATCTATGATCCATTTTGAGTTTTTTGGGGCGTGTATGTGGTGTGAGGAATAGATCAACGTAATGAGAGGGGATAAAACCAGCCACGAAGAGTTTATAGATAGGAAGTGCAAAAATGTGGATGGAACCTGGGAATGAAAAAAAGCCAAGATTCAAGGAAGCAGAGTTCGGCATTGCCGGGGAGGCAAGAGGAAAATTCTGAGTAACCAACACTGCCTGCTGAGAAAAGCAATGACAGCTGTCTTTTCAACTTGGATGAGGTCACCCTGGGAAGAGCATTTTCAGTCAAAACAAATCTTCTCTATTCATAATCATATGTAACCAACAGCTTTATAAGAATTCCCCCAGCAGAAACACTTGAGAGGTCTGAACTCCCTGAACACTATTAAAGGTCACTTCTTTAGGTATAGGAAGATCTGGGATTCCTGACACTGAGGGTGACTGAAGCATCCTTGGGGCACTCCAGGCATAAGGTCTTGGGGACAAACCCGAGGAGTCATTGCCTCGTTGGGAAATCAGCACACTCGCTGCTGGGTTTGCCAATCTGACGCTTCACCAGGAAGACACCTAGTTGAACTACAGGAGGATGAGAGTGGGGATTAAAATCTGTGCACTCGGGCAAATCCGGGGACATACCAGGAAAATCCTTCCCGCCCTCCCAGTTTCTGGAGAGGAGGAGTAGGACGCAGGGCCCCTCCAGACTTCCTCCCACGTGGCTTCTCTCCGGCAAAGAGCTACTGCACTTACCCAGGCTTAGGAAGCGGGTGTTTAAGCCATGGGTTAGGGGGCTCGTGAGCACGCCCGATCCTTTCCCTGAGGCAATGAAAGGGGTGCTCCACGGACTCCTCTCGGCCGACTGACCTTTCGCCGCCCTGCCCCAGCGGCCGACGGGTTTCTACCCGTGGAGCGGGGGTCTAGTCTCTGCAGCCCACTAGCGGCTAGCCCGGCCCCCTCCCGCTAGTCGTAAAGTGCAGTAAAGGCACCAGCATTTTGCGGCACCGTAGGTGAGGCCGGCGGCGTGGGTCCTTGCGGTGCAGGGAGCCGGCGCTTTGGTAGTTTCTTCTGCGGAAAGGCGGTAGTTTGGAATTTGGAAAGGCCAGGGAACTAGGTACGATTCTGTCAGCGGGTAATTGGCTGCTCCTAGGTTTGTGTAACAAGCGATAAAAGTGGTAGGATTGTTTAAAACCTCTTATCCCAGTCCTTAAGCGTGACATAAGGTTCCCAAACCCCTCCTTGTGACTTGCCGCTTCTCGTGTGCTATTTTGGTTGTCACCTTCGTGTTCATCACTAGATTTTAGGTGCCCTCGGTGTAACTGACGGTTTTTCTGTCCACTTCGTCTTGCAGTCTCTCTTCTCCTGAAGTTTGAAATGCTTTATCTCATCGGCCTGGGCCTGGGAGATGCCAAGGACATCACAGTCAAGGGCCTGGAAGCTGTTAGACGCTGCAGTCGAGTGTATCTAGAAGCCTACACCTCAGTCCTGACTGTAGGGAAGGAAGCTTTGGTAGGTGCTGAGCGTTCCCCAGCGTCCTGGGAAGAAAGCTATCTAACATCTGATTTTCATACACTAAGCTGAACAGAATTTTCAGGTCTGCTTGTTTAAACCCTTTGAAACGCATCCTTTCTTCATTAATGATGAGGAGCAGAATGGAAATTATACACCAACCAAGTGACTTGGAAAATGAAAGAGTGCTTTGTCCTATTTTACAAGTCTAATTTTGTGGCTTTCTCCAGTAAATAGGAAAGCCATTTTATACTCTTGGGGGATAGTTATCAAAACCCCTTATTTCATGAGGTAGTCAAGAAATCCTTTCTGAGTTGAGTGCTAATGAGGTGCTGACACAGCCTTAATGAGTTGGTTATATATTCAGAAACCAAGCTGAAAGCTTCCCCCTTTGAAGTATGTCCATAGGGAATGGTGATTGCCTTTTTATATCATATCCAGAGAGAGCTTACCTTAAATAGACTATCTCCCAATAAGGCTTATACTGATACACTTGTATACATTGAGTGAGCCTGGACTTAATATATACAAATGTATGAGTATACAGTTGTATGAGTATACACTAAGTAACCAGAATATTTGTTAGTGTATTATACATTTAGTTGGCCCTCATAAGGGCCCAGTAAATTTGGGGGAAGGGTCAACTTCAGGTTCATTGTCAAACTCTAAGTAGAATGTAAATCAAATGATTAATACGTATGTTATGGGAGAAGAGAGTAGATTTTTAGAATTGTCTTTGTCCTGTCTTCCAAATAAAAAATTGACTTAAAATTTTTAGGCCTTAGATTACGTTAACATCTTGAAGAAGGAATTAAGAACTGCTACTTGAATTGGCCATGCATTTAAATAAAAGTTGTGTGTAAAGACCAACTTTGATATATACATATACGTGGAGAGAGAGAGAGAAAGTAAGTCTTGCTCTGTTGCCCAGGTTACGGTGTAGTGGTGCCATCATGGCTCACTGCAGCCTCAACCTCCTGGGCTCTAGTATCCTCCCACCTCAACCTCCTGAGTAGCTGGGACTACAGGTGGGTGCCACCATGCCCAGCTAACTTTTTTGTATTTTTTGTAGAGACAGGTTTTTGCCATGTTGCCCAGGCTGGTCACAGGTTCCTGGACTCTAGCGATCCGCCTGCCTCAGCCTCCTCAAGTGCTGGGATTATGTAGGCATGAGCGACCGACCACACCCAGCCTAAGACCAACTTTCATTTAAAAAAAAATTTTAGGGCGCGGTGGCTCAAGCCTGTAATCCCAGCACTTTGGGAGGCCGAGGCGGGTGGATCACGAGGTCAGGAGATCAAGACCATCCTGGCTAACATGGTGAAACCCCGTCTCTACTAAAAATACAAAAAACTAGCCTGGCGTGGTGGCGGGCGCCTGTAGTCCCAGCTACTCGGAGGCTGAGGCAGGAGAATGGCGTAAACCCGGGAGGCGGAGCTTGCAGTGAGCCGAGATCGCGCCACTGCACTCCAGCCTGGGTGACACAGCGAGACTCCGTCTCAAAAAAAAAAAAAAAAAAAAAAAAAAAATTTTTTTCCTCATTTTTTCACTCTTGGGATAGAACCAAAATATCTAAGCTCAGAATGATAGAAATGTGCCTCTCTAATCAGTGATTAAGGAAAAGTAGAAGGAACTTAATACCATCAAGAAAAGAGAGACAAATAACAAAACAGCAGTTTGATAGAATGACATATCAGGGGATGGCATAGAGGAAAGTTTGGATAAAGTTTTATCTTTGCTTTGTTACATGTTATTGTGACCTTGGACAAGTCCTTTAACTTTAGTGACTTTTCTAAATAGGGTAAAAACCACCTACTTTAGGTGTTGAGCATAGGTCTTAGCATAGGTTCTTAGCTATGGTACGTGGCACAAAAGTGTTCAGAAATAGAAATTGTCAATGGTCACATTTCCAAACTTCTCTGAACCTCAGTTTCTTCATTTGTCAAGTGGGAATCCAAGCAATTCTCCTGTCTCAGCCTCCTGAGTAGCTGGGATTACAGGCGTGTGCCCTTGTGCCTGGCTAATTTTTGTATTTTTAGTAGAGATGAGATTTCACCATGTTGGCCAGGCTGGTCTCAAACTCCTGACCTCAGGTGATCCACCTGCCTTGGCCTCCAAAGTGCTGGGATTATAGGTGAGAGCCACTGCGCCTAGCCGAGGTCTGCCACTCTTGACCTCTACACTGTACTGTGTCTCTGTATTCTTAAGGATAGATAATAGCTACACAAAGTGTCACTTCACAGAACACCTACAGAGAAGGTAGGATTCAAGCAAAATGGTCAGTGCTGGATCCTGCCCTGCTTAATAATTTATTCATGTACTCCTTTGTTTGACAGATATTATTGAGTACCAGATACCATTGCACTACAGCAATCCTTACAACTTTTAATAACTCACTCAAAGTTCTCAGTATGTAAGAAACCATATTATTTATCTATGCATCCAGTTTTACTCCATTTGAATTACTTATTACTTCTCAGGAAATCAGTTTTAAGATTCATGCCTCTTCATTCTGTACTGGCTGATGAAATGAAAAAAAAAAAAGGATTCATGATCTTGCATAACAGCCTGTAACCACTATCAGATGACTACTAGCTTACTAGCTCACTCTCTACTGGATTTGTTCTCTAGAGTTGAGCTGTAGGGAATTAAATCACAAAGCAGTTTGTTTGCAAACTTCCTACATATTTAGAATTCAGTTATTGCTCCTGCAACTCTGCCTTTTTAGCAGAAACTAAGGAATATACTTTTAAATTACTGTCTTCTGTATTTATGTAGGAATGTTCACTAGTTCTGTAAACAGCTAATTTTCTATTGTTTCTCATTGGTGCTGCCTTTTTTTTTTAGCTGAGTTTCCATATGTTTAACCACTGAAAATTTAATAAAAGCTAAACCACCATGTTTGTTTAAACTTATTGTTTAATATATTTATTCCATATTACATCATGTTTCTGAAGTAGGGCTCATGTGTGTACATATTCTGTATTTATCCTATAGTGTTCTACTTGGCCTTTAGAACCAAATTTAGAAATAAATTAAAAATGCAAAAAGCCTCAGATGTTTAGAGGTCTGTCTCCTTTGGGATATTAAGACAGCCCCAAAGACAGAGTTTAATTGCAATATGATATAAAGTACTGGCTCACTGATGAGTTGTATTGAACGATCTGTGTTTGGGCGGTTGCCAAGATATGCACCAGTCCCAAACAAACAGTGTGTGTGTGTGTGTGTGTGTGTGTGTGTGTGTGTTAGAATGGTCACCTGCTGTCTCTTTATCTTGATATTGGACTTATATCTGTAGGAAGAGTTTTACGGAAGAAAATTGATTCTTGCTGATAGAGAAGAAGTGGAACAAGAAGCAGATAATATTTTAAAGGATGCTGATATCAGTGATGTTGCGTTCCTTGTGGTTGGCGATCCGTTTGGGTAAGTTAAGGCAGAGAGTTTTGAGTTTTTAACTCATTTACTTTTTTTTAATCAGTAAGAATTATTCTATTGCATTTAAAACTTACCTGCCAGGAACTCTATTTATTTAAGCTCTATCTAAAATGTTACAGTTGAAACTTCCATGATCTTTGAGATTAATGAAGAAAAGCTACTTGGTAAATATATCATCATATTTATCACTGTATTATCAAGTGCCAACTGTAAAGTTTGTATCATTGCTTCTGCTGTTTTAGAAGGTCATGTAGGGCAACAAATGCCTTAACTGGTATATCATTATTAAATAGTTCATTACAGTTCATTACATTATCAAAAGTCACGCCTGTCATTTGCTGCTGATAATTTCAAGCATCTTTGACTTCTTTTGTCCTGGGTTTTTTTTTTTCCCTTTCGTAATCATCTACCATTTGGCAATACTGCCGTCACTTTGCTTGCCTTGAATTTATCGTTTATCAAGTCTCTGATTTCAATTTCTTATACCCATTGGGAACCCTGTTCTTTGTCATTACCATGAAGATGGGCATCTACTGCCCAGTCAAGCATCATCAATCTCTAATGTCAAGTCAAACAGAAGAGTTTTTTGTCTACAGCTGGTTACCTGAGATTTATATCACAGATTTAAGGAACATAAGGACCATGTAAGACCTTGGAGGGGACTAGGAATTTAATTTAAATACAGTAGTAAACTTTTGCAGGATTTAAAGCAGAAAAAGTCAACATCTGATTAGCATTAAAAGATCACTCTAAATGCTTAGGTAAATGGATTTCAGGGAGGCAGGAATGTTTTGGGTGGAAAAGAGAAAAAGATGGGAACATATTTAGAAGAAGAATGCCAAGATATCCGGATGTGGTAGATAAGGAAAAGGAAAGGAGTAAATCTGACTCCCAGGATTCTAGCTTTATAAATGAGTGGTTGATAGTGTCACTTGAAAACTGGTAAAGAACAGAATTTGGAGAAACAAGAATTGGTTCTGGAAATATGTTAACTTTGAGATGTCAAGTAGGCAGTTAGCTGCTGCTAGAGCTTGGGGGTGGGAGGTCATCCTAGATAAATGGCTTTCGAAGTCATCGGTATGTTTATGGTGTTTAAAGCTGGAGGAATGAATAGAATCAGCTTAGGAGAGAAGAATGGGAAAAGAAGAGGACCTAGGATAGCCCTAGGAAACCTTGGAATTTCATCGTGTACCTAAAGCCAGAGGAGGAGGGAGAAAAAGCAAGAGAGTATGTTGTCACAGAAACCAGGAAAAGAGACTGTTTCAAAAAGGAAGGACTGAATAGCTTCAATATAATACTGAAAGTTTGACTGTAAGATGAGGATAGAAGTATGTGTATGAATTTAAAGACACGATGTTTGGAGTTGATTAGTGGTGGTTTTATGGAGGGGTTGGAACCTGAGCTGGGTCTGGCTAGGGTTCAACAGATAGAGATTATGGGGTGGGTCAGGAGAAAGGTAGAAGGAAGAATGCTCATATAAATGAAAAAACTGAGGTATAGAGAAAGTACCTTAATGTAATTGCTCCCATGCTCAAAAACCTTCAGTGACTTCTCATGACCTTAAATCTTAAAGTCTTTCTTTTTTCTCTAGCTACTCTAACTGCTATGCTAGAACCAAATTGTGCAACTTTCCATTTCATAAGTGTTTTATAATATTCTTCCCCCATTTCTTTGCTCAAGCTTTTTCCTTAAAACAGTTCTTCTCAGTTCCTAATTATACCTAATTGTACTATAAAATTAGTATACAGCTCAGATGCTACCTGTTTCATTCCTGTTTTATTCAGGAATGCCTTTTTTTTTTTTTTCATTTTAAACTCCTTTAATTTGCTGTTTCTCAGTGATTCATCATATATAACCTTGTGTTTAAATTCAGATTTAAGGAATATTTACTGTACTGCAGTTATTTTTTATTTAACAGCAGATTATTGTTAGGATGTAATAGTTGAAAATGGCATGGTGGGGAATGTGTAATTTTAATTGGAATTTGAGTGGATTAAATGGAGGAGAAATCAGGTAAGGAATATAGACGGCAGCAAGGCATTGAAATTCTTAGATATCAGCCAAAAATACCCCTTATTTAATTTTAAGACCCCTTCTTATTTAAATAAAATATATAAAAAGAGAAGATTGTTTAAGATGGTGAATCTTAAATTCTTTTTTTCAATATTTTTAAAATGGTAAAATGACACATGACAAAATGTGTCATTGTAACCATTTTAGTGTACAGTTCAGTGGCATGCGAAGTACATTCACATGGTTGTGCAATTATCAGCACTGTCCATCTCCAACAATATGAAGTTCTTGAAGACAATTAAAAGTCATGGTAAAGTAAGTTCATGTAGTCTCATCTTTGTTCTTCTACCCAGGTCATTGAAAGGAGTATGGAAATAGATCACACAAAGAAAGTAAATGAGTCTAAAAAAATACTAAATCAATAGAACTTAATCATTATGATAGTTGACGGTCTCAAACATTCTATCCCTAAATCTCTGCAGAAGAAGTCTTTATTAAACACACTGTCTCTAATGATGGTTCTGTTTTATTATTCCATTCTGTATTTCAGTATGCTCTGTAACTATATTATTATAATGAATACATAATTTTTATCCCTATGTTGTATGCCTTTTCCTTAGCGGCATACATGTACAGATAATATGTCCTGATGTAGGCTGTGTGACTGCTTCCATTTCCATGTAATGAATGTGAACAGTGCTTGGCACCTAATAACTATAAAATCAATGTCAGCATTATTAGTAGTCCATTTTTCTTCAATATAAATAAAGCTGTCACGTATAAATTTATGTATATAATACCTTCCTCCCTCCCACTTCTTTATCCCCATATTTTAGATTGTTTCCTTATGGTAGATCCTCCAAAATAGGTTTTTTTAGGAATAAAATATCAAAAAGTGTGGACATGGAGATTTTCTAGCAAAAAGCATGTTGTCAATTATTTTTCAAAAGGATAGTGCCAATTGTTAGTGCTTCCATAGTTCATGAAAACATCATTTTCACTATATCATTGGAAACATTACTGAATTTCTGGACCACCAGCCATACTTACGTCAAAAAGGGAGGCACTATAACATTTAAAACAAACATACCGGCTGGTGCGGTGGCTCATGTTTGTAATCCCAGCACTTTGGGAGGCTGAGGTGGGTGGATTGCCTGAGCTCACAGGTTCGAAACCAGCCTGGGCAACATGGCAAAACCCCGTCTCTACTAAAAATACAAAAAATTAGCCAGGTGTGGTGACAGGTGCCTGTAATCCCAGCTACTCGGGAGGCTGAGGCAGAAGAATTGATTGAACCTGGGAGGTGGAGGTTGCAATGAGCTGAGATTGTGCCACTGCACTCCAGCCTGGGCAACAGAGCAAGACTCTATCTCAAAAAAAAAAAACAAAAAAAATCAAATTTTGTATATTCAAATTGGCCACCTTTGTGTACTTTTATCGATTCCATTAATCAAAACACTTTTGGGTCTCCTTTTTTGAAATTGCCTTTAGAACAATTTCAAGTAACAAGCATATTATTACAGATTTATTACTATTTCTGAGCATACATACATATACACATATATGATTTTAGATAGAGCCATATACCTAGAAATAGTAAATGTGTGTGTGTGTGTATGTATGTGTCTACTCATTTTAAATAAACTTGTGATAGAGATGTAATTTTGAACCAGTTTTTCTTTTTCATGTACTTAAATAACTCACCAAGTAAGTAATTTAGTTTTCTTTACTCTTAATGTTAAGTAGTGAGATTCTGTTGAAGGTGATATTTAAAAAAATTCTTTATAATTGATATTCATTTTTTTTAAAGCTTATTTGAAATCAAATTAATGATTATGTTTCATACTAGTTTTATTTTATGTATGTGATTAAAAACAAGCTTCCTTGGTGGGCATTTGTTAATATATATCTGACTGCTTCATGGGGTGAAAGCCCTTGATCTTCCTACTTGGTATGCACTGACCAGTCGACAGGCTCTGCTTGTTTGCATGTGATTTCTCAGACATGCTAATGTTGCTTTACCCAGTAGGGCCTGGAATTTTTATCAAGAGGGAAAAATGTCTTTAAAATGCAGTTCTAAATTGATAAGGGGTTACATTTCACTATGTTCATATTTATCTATATTCTCTCTTTACTCCAATCTACCTACTTATAATCTTGAGATTTATTTTAAAAAAGGAAAGACAGCAGGTCAGATACGCACACACATGTACATGTGCATACACACATCCTAATTATACACAGTAACCAAATGAAAACAGTTATAAATAAAATGACTGCTAGACAAGTATAAAATCCAATATAATATGAGATAGGACTCTCATATAAAGACTGAGTGACAAGCTGTGAAAATTTATTCTCAGGCATACCTTGTTTTATTGTGTTTTGCTTTATTTCATTTCACATACATTGCATTTTTTAAAAATTGAAGGTTTGTGGCAACTTTGCATTGAGCAATCCTGTTGGTGCCACTTTTTCTGACAGCATGTTCTCACTTCCTGTCTCTGTGTCACATTTTGGCAATTATTGTGATATTTCAACCTTTTTCATTATTACATCTGTTAATGGTCATTTGTGATCAGTGATCTTTGATGTTACTATTGTGCTTTGGGTTGCCACAAACCAAGTGCATATAAAATGGTGAACTTAATTGATAAATGTTGTGTGTGTTCTGACTGCTCCCACCAACCAGCCATTCCCCCAACTCTCTCTCTGTCTCCTTGGGCCTCCCTTTTACCAGAGACACAACAATATTGAAGTTAGGCCAATTAGTAACCCTACAATGACCTCAAAGTGTTCAAGTGAAAGAGTCACATGTCTCTCACTTTGAATCAAAAGCTAGAAATGATTAAGGTTAGTGAGGAAGACATATAGAAAGCCAAGAGGCTGGGTGCAGTGGCTCACACCTGTGATACCAGCATTTTGGGAGACTGAGGCAGGCAGATCACCTCAAATCAGTAGTTCAAGACCAGCCTGGCCAACATGGCGAAACCCCGTCTCTACTAAAAAATACAAAAATTAGCTGGGCATGGTGGCGGGTGCCTGTAATCCCAGCTACTCAGGAGGCTGAGGTAGGGAGAATTACTTGAACCCGGGAGGTGGAGGTTGCAGTGAGCCAAGATCGCTCCAGTGCACTCCAGCCTGGGTGACATAGCGAGACTCTGTCTTGAAAAAGAAAGCCAAGATAGGCTGAAAACTAGGCCTTTTTCACCAAACAGCCAAGTTATGTATGCAAAGGAAAACTTCTTTTTTTTTTTTTTTTTGAGAAGGAGTCTCACTTTGTCGTCCAGGCTGGGGTGCAGTGGTGTGATCTCGGCTCACTGCAAGCTCCACCTCCCGGGTTCACGCCATTCTCCTGCCTCTGCCTCCCGAGTAGCTGGGACTACAGGCACCTGCCACCACACCCGGCTAACTTTTTGTATTTTTAGTAGAGATGAGGTTTCACTGCGTTAGCCAGGATGGTCTTGATCTCCTGACCTTGTGATCCGTCTGCCTCGGCCTCCCAAAGTGCTGGGATTACAGGCGTGAGCCACCGCGCCCGGCCAGAAAAGTTCTTAAAGGAGATTAAAAGTTCTACTCTTACAAATGCACAAATGATAAGGAAGTAAAACAGACTTATTGCTGATAGGGAGAAAGTTTTGGTATTCTGTATAGAAGATCAGACCTGCCACAATCTTCCCTTAAGCTGAAATCTAATCCAGGGCAAGGCCCGAACTCTCTTCAAGTCTGTGAAGGCTGACAGTGGTGAGGAAGCTGCAGAAATATAGTTCCAAGCTAGCCGAGATTGGTTCATGAAGTTTAAGGAAAAAAGTTGTCTCTATAACATAAATGTGTGAGCTTTTATGGATAACAAAATGTGGAAACAAGTTATCCAGAAGGTCTAGCTAAGATAACTGATGAATCACTTCACAGATTTTCAGTGTGGATGAAACAGCCTTCTATTGGAAGAGGATGCCTTGTAGGACTTTAATTGCTAGAGAGGAGAAGTGAATGCCGGACTTAAAAGGACTGGCTAACTCTTGGTAGGGCTAATGCAGCTGGTGACTCTAGGTTGCAGCCATTGCTCAGATATATAATCTTATGAAAATCCTAGGGCCTGTAAGAATTAACCTAAATCTGTTCTCCCTGTGTACTGTAAGTGGAACAAGAAAACCTGAATGACAGCACATCTGTTTACAGCATGGTTCACTGAATACTTTAAACCCACCCTTGAGACCTATTGCTCAAAAAAATAGATTTCTTTCAAAACATTATTGCTCATTGATAATGCACTTGGTCACCCAAGAGCTCAGGCAGTGTACAAGAAGATTACTGTTGTTTTTATGCCTGCTAACCCAACATCTATTCTACAGCTCATGGATCAAGGAGTAATTTTGACTTTCAAGTCTTTTTATTTAAGAAATACATTATGTGAGACTATAGCTGCCCTAGATAGTGATTTCTCTGATGAGTCTGGGCAAAGTAAATTGAAAAACTTCCAGAAAGGATTCACCATTCTAGATGTCATTTAAAATACTCATGATTCATGAGAGGAGGTAAAAATATCCACATTATTAGCAGTTTGGGAGAGGTTGATTCCAACCCTCATGAATGACTTTGAGGACTTCAAGACTTCATTGCAGGCAGTAACTGTAGATATGGTAGAAATAGCAAGAGAACTAAAATTAGAAGTGGAGTCTGAGATACAACAGAATTACTCCAATCTTAGGATAAAACTTGAACAGATGAAGAGTTGCTTTTTAAGGACGGACAAAGAAAGTGGTTTCATGAGATGAAATCTATTCTTGATGAAGATACTGTGAACATTGCTGAGATGACAACACAGGATTTAGAATATTACATAAACTGAGTTGATTAGATTACTGGCAGGGTTTGAGAATACTGGCTCCAATTTTGAAAGATGTTCTACTGTGGGTAAAATGGTATCACACAACATTGCATGCTACAGAGAAATCTTTCATGAAAGGAAAAGTCAATCAATGCAGCAAATTTCATTGTTTTATTTTAAGAAATTGTCACAGCCACCCCCATCTTCAGCAACCACCACCCTGATCAGTTAGCAGCCATCAACATGGAGGCAAGACCATCCACTAGCAAGAAGATTACGACTCACTGAAGGCTCAAATGATTGTTAGCATTTTTTAGCAATAAAGTATTTTTAAACTAAGATGTGCACATTTTCTGGACATGATGTTATTACACACTTAACAGACTACAGTTTAGTATAAACATAACTTTTATATGTATAAGAAACTAAAATAATCCATGTGGCTGACTATATTTTAATATTTACATTATTGTGGTTATCTTGACCCAAACTTGCAGTATCTTCATGGTGTATCTGTATATTCTGCCTTATATTTTAAATACAAAAACAAAGCCTTCAAAATAGAGCAGTGATTCTAGTTGTGCCCTAATTTAGAATTTTAGAGCAGTAATTTTAAGAATTTAAAAGGGCTCTGAGACCAAAGAGCTTAAGAATTGCTGCTCAAGAGTTAAGTTGCTGAGCTTATATTTCTTAGATGTCTTTTTCGGGTATTTACAGGACAAAGGGCAAGTAAAGGCAAGTAAAGAAAACAGCCAAGGCTGCTTTCGGAGTGTTATAGTAGCAACTCAACATTTTGAAGGGCATGTTTAGTCTTGCATTTTCTTGCTAAAAAGCTCAGATGAAAGCCTTATGCAGGTGTGTAGAAGAATTTGAAGAAATGCAGTGCTCCTGTCTCTTTAATTGACATGAACTTAGGAAATATTATAGCTTTACTGTCTTGAAAGTGTTGTTTGCTTTAATCCAATCTAATCTTTTCTCACTACAGGGCTACAACACACAGTGATCTTGTTCTAAGAGCAACAAAGCTGGGAATTCCTTATAGAGTTATTCACAATGCCTCCATAATGAATGCTGTAGGCTGCTGTGGTTTACAGGTAATGCAACAAAGGAGGTTTTTCAGTGGAATTAAACAAAAAGGTTTTATTTTTCCACAAATTGAAAATACGTTTATTTGTATTTTATGAATCATAAAACATACTATTATTTGATACTAGACTACTTATATACATATTCTGAATTTTTTAACACTAATTTTTTTAATGCTAGGTTTTCCACCTTATTGGAGTAGAACATTTAGATTTAACTAGAAAATTGTTTTAACCTTATATCCAACTTGTACTTACATAAAAAGGAAAATATAAACTAATCCAAATGACTCACTCAGCATTGTCGAGGGCCATGATGTTTCATACAGTATTGTTTTGTGTGCTGTCAAGAGCATTGTGATGCTGCATTTCTTAGTGGAATCAGTATAAAAGCTAAACGCCAGGGATGTAGGCTTTTAAACCAGATTTGCAGTTATTGATGTATAAAGTTAGTCATTTTTGTGTCCAACAGTCTTGGTTCTAAGGGGTTAGAGTGCCCCACAATTGTTTCCAAGATTTACTTCTTAGCTACTGACATTCATTTTCCAAGCTTGGTGTTTGTATTCTGATGTTCACACATGGATAATCCATGACAACTATGACTGCTGCTTGGCTAACAGTGGTTTTAAGACATCATCGATTGTTAAGACATAGTCCTATTTTCAGATATATCATAACAGGAAAACAACATGCATCTTAGAATCTATGAAATAAAGTATTCCCCAGTGTGTCTTCCTGAAACGCATAATTTAAAAATAGATACTTTCAAGAAGATATGTTAGCATCAGGCACCAATTCTATGTCTATAGCTTTAGAGGACTATATTTTCTGTATGACTTGGAGAGAATAGTTCAATTTAATTGACTAATACTGGCTTTTTATGTCAAAATGTTGCCTGTGTTTGTGAAGAACTAGAGAAAAAGTATAAATGATTGACCTGACAATATTCACCACTTGCTCTTAGTTGTTATGTTTAAATTAGCATGGAATTTTGCTTTTTTGCCCAAAATGCATACTTTTAAAAAACCTTGCCCATTCAAGTCTTTTTTTACATTTTGAAACCCTTCTGAACATTTCTGTGTTGGAGTAAGTTGAATGCTATTCATAAAACCATAAAGTGTTAGTGCTACAAAGAATGCTATAGGGATGGAGAAAATGATGCCAAAATATGTTCCCAAGGTCATTCAGGTAGGTGGTAGCATAGATGGAGCTAAAACTCTTGATCCCTAGTCCAGTATTCTTCCCTTCTGCGGGTGTCCAAGGGAGAGAAATCTTAGTTTCTGTTGCTGGTTGAGCCAGTAAAGCTGCTTCCTCATCCCTCTTTTCTGCTTATCACTAGAGACAGAAACTAAAAACCAAGGCTTCAGGCTGCTAAAAGCCTAAAACACAACAAAACAGAAAAACAACCACAAAATAAGGCGGATTGGACAAGCTTGTGACAGTGCTGCCTTTTAAGAATTGATAACTGATGGCTGGGCGCGGTGACTCACGCCTGTGATCCCAGCACTTTGGGAGGCCGAGGCGGGTGGATCACCTGAAGTCAGAGGTTCGAGACCAGCCTGGCCAACATGGTGAAACCCCGTCTCTACTAAAAATACAAAAATTAGCTGGGCGTGGTGGCAGGCACCTGTAATCCCAGCTTCTGGGGAGGCTGAGGCAGGAGAATCACCCCAGCACGCAAGGCGGAGATTGCAGTGAGCCGAGATGGCACCATTGCACTCCAGCCTGGGCAACAAGAATGAAAATTCCATCTCAAAAAAAAAAAAAAGAATTGATAAATGCTAGAAGAAAGAAAAAAAGGAGAGAAATTATCATTTGATAAATAAAGATGTGTAAACCTTAAGCTAATAGAACATACATTTTTATCATATTTCATATAATTTTATGTCTTGTAAAGAAAATTAACTAGCCCTTTCTCCATCATATTTTGCTCTAAATTATAGCTATTTTAAATTATTTTTTTTGCTTCTTTTTTAAGCATAAAAATAGAACACATCCCTTGTAAATCTGTTTTATAGACTGGTTAAAACTAAACCTGGGTGATCCTGTCCTTCTGATCCTCCACACTGATAGATAGGTAAAGTATAATTGTTCTTATGTCTAAAATGGGTGAAGGTATTTGAGTGGGAATTTACTGTGAGAATTTGCAGTCTTCATACAAGCACCTACAGTCATATCCATATATAATATATTATTTTTCAAAAAACTTTCTCACAATTGTGTGTGGGATTTCTCTAAACAGCCACACACCATTTTTACCCCAGCTTAGTTTTATTATCTAATCTGAATATGAAACAACTATTTGTGTGAGAAACAGGAGGTGCCTTTCTAGGTTCTGTCTTATATAGTGATGACATTTCCATGAAGATATACATCTTGTACCACTGAAATTCATATCAGAAGAGGTAATTACTGATTCATTTTATACAGTTTTCTAATATAAAAAGCATTACAAATCATATGCATAAAACTTAAATTTTAAAATAAATTTATAGATATCCTGCATAATGCAAGTACTTTGACAAAGTCTTCTTCCTTATAATAGCTGGCCTTTTTACTGTTTGGACTAGTGCTTATGGAAGAAACAATAACCTAAATCTGTGGTTCTCAGACTTTAGTATTTATTAGAATCACCTGGAGGGCTTGTAAGACAGGTTGCTGGGCTTCATCTTCAGACTTTCTGATATAGTAGATCTGGGATGGGGTCTGAGAATTTATATTTCTAACAAATTCTCAGATGATGCTGAAGCTATTGCTACAGGTACCATACTTTGAGAACCACCAACCTAGACAAATTAAAAACTTAGAAAGTGAGAGAACTGTATTATCTTTCATTTGACATGGCAGGATTGGAAGAGTAGGTTTTTAATTCCCGGTATACACTTGTTAAATGTAGGCTGTTGAGGGGTTATCTTGCCATACTCTCTTGCTCAATTTTTTAAAAGGGAAGTGAGAACCACTGTGAAAAGGCATTCTGTCATCTCCATGAAAGAGCTTTCCATGAGTTCAAAACCAGTCATCAAGTTATTGAACAGAAATATACTTTGGATGTTGTGACAAACCTGAACCATACATGCTTTCTAACGTCTTTGCCTTAAAGAGTAGCAGTGTGAAATTTCTAACCTAGAAATAGGCAGACTTTTCAGCTATCAATATATCGACCCCCTTTGAACTATTCTGTTGTTTTTGTTGTTTTCTAAAGAAATAACATGCAGAGTTCAGAATCAACCACTGAGTTCATTACCTCTGTAGTTTTATTAGCCAACAGAAAATTTTTGTTCATCACTATGATGGTAAAAATAGTTGTTTAACTATCTAACACTCCTTCATACACACAGACATTCACATACACAGCCAGCTGATATGCACTTATAGGCTTGCCATAAAATAAAATTATCTACCACAAACTCCATATTTCTGATGAAAAATTTCCTTGTAAAATAAAAAGTGTATTAGAGACTTCCAAGTTAGACATCTTTAAAGAGAATAGTGATCCATTCATTCAACAAATACTGTTAACCTAGTTATTTTTCTAAGTGCCTTTGGATACAGTAATAAACTTGACCAATAGGGTCCCTGCTCTCAAAGAGCTTCTATTTTAGTGGGCAGAAGAGACAACAATAAAATGATAAATATTAGATATTGGTAAGTATAAGAAATTCAAGTAGACTGGTGTTTAGAGTGACTAAGTCACTACTGAGGTCGGGGAGGTATCTCTAAGAAGGTGACATTTAAGTTAGATATGAATCAAGAAGGAACCAGCATATTCTATACAGAGGGAACAGTCGGTACAAAGGTCCTGAAGTGAGAATGAGCTTGGCTTGTTAAAGGAACCAAGGAAAGGCTGTTGGACCGTAGCAGGCAAGGGGAAGAGTGACCTGAGGTTGGATAGGTGGACAGGGCTGGATCACTAGACTCTCATCCAACATTAGGAGTTTAGATGTTATCGTAAGTGACATAGATTGACATTGAAGGGTTTTAAGCAATAGAAATACTTGATCTGATAAATTTTTAAAAACATAATCTTTGGCCAATACATGAAGATTGAATTACTGCCAGGCAAGATTTGAATTGAGGAAATCAATTAGGAGGCTAATTATAGTCATTTAGAGGAAAGATGATGGTGGCTTGTTCTGTATGGAGTATGGCATAAGAGAAGATTTAGAAAGTGAACTTAGGAGCATTTTCTATTAAGAGAATTGAGATTTGGGGAGATGTAGAGAGCCACTTCTGCCTTACTGATAGTCCTAGGAAAGGAATTGGGGTCTTTATGCATCATCTTCACTATCACTGTTATTATGGTTTGTACCCCACAAAAACTTGTCTGTAGGGCTGGACTCTTCTATTACTATTGCTCAATTGGTTTCCTACTTTGGTTGGTTCTGTTAAACTTGTCATTGCTAGAGCAGTTGCCTCCTTTCAGTAAGAGTCCTGTGCCAGTCTTCCTGTGCTTTCAGGACCATAGATTAATCATAGAATTGATTATGTGGAAGAGTAGTATTATGTTTATCTTACTCCCAGACTCTTGAGGGTATGGATGTTGCCTGGAAGGCTCTACTAATGTCTTGGGAAGAGTTAAAGTCATGGGGTAGATATTAAGTACATATATGTTAAATGAAAGAAGCCAGACATAGAAGACCATGTATTATTTGATTCCGTTTATATGAAGTGTCCCCCAAAAGGCAAATCTGTAGAGACAGAAAGTAATTAATGGTTGTTTGGGGCTGGGCATTACAGGGATTAACTGTGAATGGACATAAGGGATCTTAGTTGGGAGATGAAAAATGTTCTAAAACTAAGTATGGCAATGGTTGCACAGCGTGGTAATTTACTAAAAAGTGTTGAATTATACGCTTGAAAGGGTCATTGTTACGTGAATGATAATGCAGTAAAGTGGTTAAAAAAATGAATTATAAGAAGTTAGCTAGATAGGCAAAAGGGCAGAAGACATTCCCAACAGAGAGAGAAGTGTAGTTAAAAGAGAGAGTCTTAGAAGCACTTTAGGGAAT